ATCCTCTTTTACGCTTGGGCGCTTTCTCCTCCTTCTCTCATACAGATTTCATATGTGTATGATCCCCAGCACAATTTTTCGCTTCTATCCGATTTGATTGTCGGTTTTCTCGTTCGTCTTTGTGGGAAGTGTTCTTGAGTTAAGCATGAGCGATTTTGAATGATCATGAAAAAGAATATGAAATGCATTCATCCATATCGCACCACCTTGAAAGAATAGTTAACAGCGTTTCTAAACAACAAACAATTAATTGCACATTATCAGGCAATATAATACATCGTCAAGAATATAAGCAAAAATGGATATCTCTGAAAATTATGGCAGACTAGAAAGTTGTTCTTACTGATATTGATCGACTTATATTGTGGAATGCAACGAATTCTTTGGAAGTACGCTTCGGATGCGCTCCCACTTATTATCGGATTGTTGAAAATCTGTGATTTCACAAATTCGTTTACATATTCCATATATTCGTCTCAATAAGACAAAGTTTTTGTGCTCATTAGTGTGCAGCATTTGTTGCGATTGTTTCTCATTTCACTTCGACGCGAATATTCACGTATATGCTGAATGCATGATAAAAGTGTGCATCGCATTCGATATGTGCCGTCTCGTAAACAGACTGTGAACAGATCAAGGGAAGCATGACTGAGTGGTCAATTATGAGCATCAAACAAAGCAAAACGCGATTGCATCATGAATCTGCATCAGCAAATAGTTGAATGCATTCCATACAAATGCACATCCAGACATATTTATGTACTTACTTGTAAAGAAGACGTAACCAACTAAATAATATTGCCCATGAATACGACAATAAATTAATAATGATATCGAGGAATGAACTAATGAAAAAATTAATAATAAGGAAGATAATATGATGCTATAGACAGTTTTGATGTGGTCAATATATAGCTTCATTGCATTTCAAACGCATACTGATCTTGATGCAAATTATTTATGCATTGCTTCGATTCATATAGATATCATCGGGCAATCTAAATTCACTCATATCTATATTTGCATGACGGCGTTTTACGATACTTGATATTAATAAAACAATTCGATATGTATAACCTGACATATTACAACAGTTATGGCTTAATAATTGAGGTGTAACAGCAGTAGTAAATTAATGCTCTGTAAGGTTAAATGAACAAGCTGTTGGATCACAAGGCAATTTGATGTTGTTGAAGGATCGCGAATGTACAGTTCAAGCCGTTTCTTGAAGAGGGATGGAAATGTTTTTGCGGAGCGAACATGAATACTCAGACATCGAGACTGGACTAAAATGAAGAACTCTTATTCAGTTCATGAAATAGCGAAGATAAAGTAATGATATCTGTGAGGATTCATTATTAGCTTAACCCGAAAAATGCTCATTAGAACTTCTTTTAGCTTTAGGCAATATGCCCTCCAGGTAAACTTCACCGAGAAGAGATGAAAAGAGTGGTTATTTTACATTGAATATATCACAATCGAGATTGATAATTAAAGAGGAAAATTAATTTCATAAAATTTTGCTCCTTTCATAATCGCTTTTACAAACATTAATCGTTTCATATCTCCGAAATAAAATTGTGTGCGGAATTAATGAACGGTTTCTTCATCAGATGCTTTGAAGTCGAACACACATATTTGCATCCGTAAACTCCAAATCCGAGTAATGTTTTGAACCTTATAATATGAGAATGTTCAATTTTTGAATGGATCTTGATGATCAATCAAAACACAAATCAGTATGAATCGAGTGTGAAGATAAATGTGTGAAGATTGTTCCAAATGATCAGATAACACACAACATTTTGTAACTGAAGATACCATTAAAGGGTCATTCAGTAGAATCATAACGGCTATCAGCTGAATCGTCCATTCAGTAATGACGTTGACTTTCTATTAAACCTACTCTATAGCACTGGAAAACATTATTTGCATTTAAAATGAATATGTTCCTCAGAAGTTGGATATAAATCGAATGAATTTCGTGTTTTCATGCTCTCTTCTGGGTTTATTATGTATATTGATCCAAAATCTAATCATTTATCCACTTCATTCAACGCCCTCATTTACTATTCAAATATTCAAACCACAATAAAAATTATTTATTAGCAATATATGAAGAATGATACTATCGAGTTCTTCTCTTCTTTGCTGTCTATGAAATGTTTTTGCACTACTCGCGATCAGTCAGATTCTTTCGATTGCAGGCAAGCATAATGTGGTTAGTAATTCGCTCCATAGAGAGGGCATTCAGTCTTCCATCGTTTGTTTTTAGTTATAGAGAAGGCAAATAATTAAGAAGAAACGACAGACATCCAGTCTCGTGGCGAATGCACATACCTAAACTAAAGAATATGAGCTTTGGCTATTGATATGATTGAATATTGAAGAGTTTTAACATCATTCTCGTTCGGCTATTTGGTATGTCATGCTATTAATCAATCGCAATGCAGTCGGTTACAATTTATCCATATGTTCAATACGTCAAAATAAGGAAAAATATGTCCATGTGAATGGTGGGGGTATGTGAATATATTTGCTTTGCATAGACATCGAGAATATTACTTATTCATAACATTCAAAAAATGTTGCTTTAGACGTTCATGAATAATTGATTTCGCATGTATATTGTCGCTTTCATTGTTTATGATCTCAGTGAAGAAATGAGTATGCAATGGGGAGAGAATGTGAAAAAATTTTTAGAAAAGCGTAGAATAAAGAATAGAAGGACGCTCAAAAATGAAAACTAATACAACATTTTGCGTCATCAATTCGTTGTTTGAGGAAATTTTTATGAAACGTCAAAACTTATGAACGGAGTACCATGTTGAATAGAGGTTCATTCTGTGTATTCATAACATTCAAATAGATATTCAATCCGGTCAATTATACTCAAACAGTACGATGATTGAGGATTCACTCTCTTCGTGAATAGACGTGACTGATGAGTTGAGATTTCGTCTACTCGAATTGAATTTTCTATCACTGACAGACTTTGCTGAATTAGTGCCTTGTAGGATAGCTGTATAGCAAGCGAGGACTATGATGCATCAGGAATGAAGACATTTTTTTCGATTGAACAATTACTCGTGTGACATATATAAAATGGACATACTGAAGGAGACATTTATGTTGCATGATCAAAACGAGTGGATGATCAGAATATCTTAATGGGAGATCACAAGAAACATGGGAATGATGAGTGGTTGAAAACAAGAAGACGATAATAGGAGTCAATTAGAGGACATCATAAATGCGAATCCTTTTGCGAAAATTGAGCTGTACTCAAGTGACAGCACGAATAAGTGTGAGACGTCCATGAAAACACTAATTCATTTGCTTATTCCCTTAGGTGTTGCACTCGTTTATTGGATGATCAAAGTGAACATACAATGAAGAAAGCATAAATGAATATTCAATATATTTATTCAAATATACACACAATTATTCAAAACGACCTAAGCGGAAACTTCGACCGATCAGTCATGCTCATATATACCATCAGCAATACAAAAAATGACTATAAATTCACAAGAGCTACAAACAAACAAATAAAGCAAGTTTGATGAACGTTTGAATTATCACCTTTCTATTCAACGATACACGTCGACAATTATCACGCATTTTTTCGATAACATACGAGATCATAAACGTGCATCAGTCTCATTACATCCAAACGAAGACTGAAAGACGAAGTAGAGCCCAACTCTCAAACAGCAACATTGACAATCGAGTATCAGTGAAATGTGGATCATTGGTAATTTTCATTTGTACATAAATAAATAAATAGGACATTATCAAAAGTAAAATGAAAAAACCAATCAAAAAATATAATTATCAAAACAAATAACACAAAAGAGCATTACGATAACACAACAACCATAAATAAATACGAAAGACTGACAAAAGCACTACGATAACAACAACAACAATTACTACCAATAATAACAAGCAATCGTATACAACAGTCCTGCCAATGCACATTCAAGCTTATAAATCTTGTTTAACTTTTATGCATAACTTAGCTGACAACC